TACTGGGGCTTTGGGGGAAAAAAAATAAATAAATAAAATTATTAAAAAAAAATAGCCAGTAAATAAACTTTACTAAATTGCATATCTAAAAATATTATTTTAATTTTAATTATATGTTGAATTAATATATTACTTTATAAATGCATTATATGATGTAAATTTATATATAATTTTATAATTAATATATCAACAAATTTCTACATTAATGTATCAGTATATTAATATAGTTTTTTGTGTGTGTGTGTGAGAAAGATTGGCCCTGGGCTAATATCTGTGCCCATCTTCCTCTACTTTATATATGGGATGCCGCCACAGCATGGCTTGATGAGTGGTGCGTAGGTCCGAGCCCGGGATCCAAACTCACGAATCCTGGGCCACCAAAGCAGAGTGCGTGAACTTAACCACCATGCCACTGGGCCAGCCCTTAATATAGTTTTTCAGCCTGCAAGGAAAGTAATTTTAAATGTTTATTAAATCATTTTATTGTGTTTTCCTTGAATTTCTAGTTCATTTAATGTATTTCAGTACATAAAGTTTTCTGACTCATATATTTTCCCTGTAGACATATGAATCAGAAAACTCGATCAAAATACTTATACTCTGTCTCATTCATATTAATATTGTGATCCCGTTTTCTCATGCTCTGCTTTGCTCTGTAGAACTTTGCCTGATCTTCTTTGAACTGTTCTCTGTCTTTTTTTTAATAACAGCCTTACCAGGATATAAATCATGTATCATAAGATTCTCCCATTGACAGTGTCTGGCTCCCGGGTTTTAGTATAGTCAGAGCTGCGCAACCATCACCACCATCTATGTCTCTTTGAAAAGAAGAAAGTGTTAAGAGTTTGGTTTTACTCCTATGTGAGGTTCTCACATTTTAGCAGGAGAATCAACCTGTATCTTCATGTCAGGAGTTGGCAAACTTTTTCCGTAAAAGTCCGATAGTCAGTCGCTATTTTCAGCTCTGTGGGGCAGGGGTCACAGCTGCTCAGCTCTGCTGTGGTAGATTGAGGGTGATATGCAAATGAATGAGCAGGGCCGGGTGCCAATAAAACTTTATTTACAAAAGCAGCCCTCGGGCTCCATTCAGCCAACTCCAATCCATGACTGATGCGTGTGGTTTTCCATGAGCTAATCTTGTGTCATGCTTTAGAATATTCATCCCTGCTGTTTTCTCTATTTGCTATCTTTTGTAGATCCTGTTTTTCCTGTCTTTGCTCCTCTAGTTAATCTGAAAGGATACATATTATTTTACATTTTACTAGTGGTTAACTATGTATATATATTTTAACACATTGAACTTAATTTTGCCAGTTATCATCATCTGTGAACCGGTGTCTACTGATTCTGGCCATAAAAATGGATATATTCAATTAACATCATCTGAAGTGTGAATCTCTGCCTAGAAAATGCAGGAGAATCAACTTAAAATTCAGAAAAGAAGCCAGTTGCAAAATCAATTACAAAATCAAGAGATTTCCTATATATTCGAGACATGACTATTTAGAGAGTACAATGGAAAAAAAGACGTCATGGAAAAACATCTCATTCACAGGAATAACCAAAAGTAACAAAGAATTCACTTTATTTTTTTTACTTTTTATTTTTTCCCCCAAAGCCCCAGTAGATAGTTGTATGTCATAGTTGCACATCCTTCTAGTTGCTGTATGTGGGACGCGGCCTCAGCATGGCCGGAGAAGCAGTGCGTCGGTGCGCGCCCGGGATCCGAACCCGGGCCGCCAGCAGCAGAGCACGCGCACTTAACCACTAAGCCACGGGGCCGGCCCTCTACCTTGACTTTCTTTCCGACTCGGGACCTGCTTCTAGAAGCAGCGTGCTGACCGATAGTGCCTCCTGCCGGGGTGGACATGGGCGGCCGTTGAGACACCACTGGCAGGGGCTTGTGCGACCGAGCTGAGGGGTTTTTCATTTGAATTCATCTTTAATGGGAATTTAAACAGCCACGTGTGGCTAGTGGCTGCCATATTGGACAGCATGGGTCAGGACAACTCTAGCCCTGGTTTGGAAACTTCCAGTAACAGGGGGCCCCTGATCTTCTAAGACTGCCCAACCGAGCAGCTCTTGAATTACTGGAAGAACGTCTCTCATGTACCCCAGAGGCTGCCTTCTGGGTCGTTCTGCCCTTTGTCACATTTATTTGGAGGACACAAATCCACAGCTGCTCCTAAATGACAGCCCCTCGCTGGTTCCTTCTCCCACCGCCCCCACCTCACCAGATTTCCGATATTTGTCCCCCTTACCTCCCGTGGTTGGACAAGTTTTGGGGCGAACTCTCCCATTAGGACGAGCGATTCTCAGGCCCGTGGACAGGGAGAAGTCACTCGGAAGCTGACCTCTCTCATTCTTGCAGGGAGCCCAGGGCAGTGGGCCTGCAGGCGTTCTGTGTGCAAAACATTTCTTTCTAAAGGGCGTATGAGTTTCCCACAGCTGCTATGACAAATGACCACAACTCAGTGGCTTAAATAATACAAGTTTATTCTCTAACAGTTCTGGGGTCAGAAGTCCTAAATCCAGGTGTGTGCAGGGCTGTCCTCCCGGAGGCTCCAGGGAGAATCGTCTCCTGCCTTTTCCCGCTTCTAGAGGCCGCGTCCTGGGCTCGGGGCCCCTTCCTCCGTCTGCACAGCCCGCAGCGCAGCGTCTCCCGTCTCTCTCTGCCTCTGACCCTCCTCCTCCCTCTGATGAGGACCCTGTGATGACACTGGGACCCCAGAGATCCAGGGTCATCCCCCATCTCAGGAGCTTTAATTTAATCCCACCTGCAAAGTCCCCCTGCCACGTGAGGTGACGCGTCCACAGGTTCCGGGACCAGGACAGGGACATCTTTGGGGGCCGTTATTCTGAATAACAATAACAGCTCCCAAATTCTTAAACTGGTCCTGGAAACCATCGTGGTGCATTTGCAAAATCAAAGGGCAAGAAAACAATGGCTTCTTTGAAGGTATTTCCAAGTAATGTGGAATTCAGTCTGAATTAAAACCTCTGCCTTCCACGGAGCCAGTGCACCCTCTAGCGGCAAGGAGCCACGCACTGGGCTCAGAGGTCCCAGGGTGGCCCACCAGGGGCTCGGTGTCACCTCGGTGTCCACTAGGGGCCTCTTCCCGATCTACTCCTGCACGAGCACAGGCTGCAACCCAAAAATCCTGTCAGCCCCTGGAACCGTGACATTTCACCCCTGAGTCAGTAATCGATCCCATTTTTCACATACAAGAAAAAAGTCTTGGGCTAAGTTCATCTTGAGTCCTGGGTCACAGGCTACTTGGTAACGGGCTGGAACAGAAAACACCCCTCTGTCTTTTCCCTCCCAATCTACTCTTCTGCACTCCGTTCAAAGTTTTCTGGAACCTTCTTTTACATAGCAAAAGGCAAAGAGTTAAAATTGTGTTTGGTCAAGGCCAAAAGTAAGTCATTCCAGACAGAAACGGGAGAGTGACACAGACGCCTCCCTCACGGCGTTTCCACTTTGTCCCAATCGTTCCCCACCCTGTGCCCCAGGAAATTCTAATCCCACCGACATTCTGTGCATCTGTTTCTCTGTTTGGGGCGCTTTGGCGGGCCACACACCATTGGGACATCTAAGATTTCCTCACCCCTTGGGGACGAGGGCATCCCAGTGACAATGGCAGGGATGTGTCCCAATGCCAGGCCCTCCTGCCAGGAAAACAGAAATGACAACCAGCAGCCGCGGGTACAAAGATGGCACAATTTATTCTGAGGTTCATGTGGGAACACCCATGAGCACAGGAGGGTGGGCAGGGGGCCTTCCCTGTCCCACAATCCGGGCCACCTTCCCCGACCTGGCTGGGCTGCGGGAACAGCAGGTGACCCTGGGGGACACAGTGGTTATGGCCTTTGGTCGTGGTTTTGCATTTAAAAGGAGCTACATTCGATCAACGGTTTTTGGAAGTCCTACAGGGTCCATCTCCCTAGGGCTCCAAGCTGGATGCCAGTGGTTCTGGAAGGACGGAGGCCGAGGTCACGTTAACTGCACTTGGTCGGTGTTGGTGACGGCGCCCCTCTCGTCTGCGAGCATCCCAGACGCCCAGAGTCGGTGTGGTCCAGGAGGGAAGGGCTGCCACCAAGAGGGCCTCTGAGGATGCTGTGCGGGCAGGACACAGGGGCAGAGGGCGGCTTCCTGTGGTTACTTTGGTGCGGCCCATGCGGAGCCCCAGCCACACTTCCCAATGTTGTACAGCGGGGACAGTGCTGGGATTTTGGTCCAGTGACCAGGGAGGGCCACACACACAAAGGCTTTTGATATAAAGTAGGCAGGCAGAAAAGAAAGGCCGAGTCCAGCTAAATATCAGGCACAAGTCAAAGACCCCAAACCCGGGGGGCACGGCGTTCCCTGGGAGATTCATCCGGGGTCATTCATAACAGAAAGGGGACAGTTTTCTAGAGGGACTCACTATTTATAGGTAAAAAACTTATTCTCTTAATATCTGAAGGCGGTCCTTGGTGAGACTGTATAAAAATGAGATCTTTCATGATACACGAAGGGGCCACAGGAAACCCGGGGTGCAGGCGTGGGGAAACCCCGGGCGGGTGAGCCAAAGGTTTGGAGGAAGAGAGGAGGGAGGGGAGGAAGCAGGGCCACGGTGTACCTCTCATGAAACAGGCCCGGGGCTGCCGGGGAGCAAAGTGGGGGACGGCAGCTCGCAGGCCCGCTGCCTCGCTGACCCGGGCCCGGCCTCTCCCCTCCCAGGCCCAGCATGACAGGCCCTCGGGGCCGAGGCCGTGGCAGCCACCGGGCCGCCCCGAGGTGGGACGGGGAGAGGTGGGGCAGAGCTCCAGCCGCCCAGGGCCAGCACGTAGTTTACACACAGAGTGGTTTTCCTGTTGCTCACAGCACACAGGATCAGAGCTCAAGTTCAGCGTCCCCTCGTTCCTGGACAGCCACGGAGACAGAGCTCAGGGAGGCCGGGCGCCAGGGTCCCACGGCTGCCACCCGGGAGTCAGAGGGAGGACTTGACCCCGGCGTCCGTGGAGCATCGATGGCACAGAGTGCACCCTGACGCTGGGCTAGAACACACGGGTCCATGTTCCCGAGACGTGGCCCTCGAGTCGGGGTGGCCCCCTGGCACTGCCTCGGTGACAGCGGGGCCGAGGGGCTCTCAGTGGCACATCCGTGCGGTCATTTCTTTCTGTTAAGAAGAAGCAGGATGTCAGGCATCGACGCGAGAGGTGATGGAAATCACACAGATGGAAAAGCGGGGGATTCAGTCTCAAGGGACCAGGGCCTCCTTTAACGCCAAACCTTAGAGAAAACGGAACAGACAGCAGCACACTCTGGCCGGGGGCGGCAAACTATTTCTGTGAAGGGCCGGATGGGCAATACTGTGGGTTCTGGGGGCCTGATGGTGTCTGTCTGGCTGCTCGGCTCAGGACTGAGTGGGCCTGCATGCCAATGAAACTTTATTCACAAAACCAGGAGGTCAGCCCAAGGGCCGCAGTTTACCAGCCCCTGCCTTGTACATCTGATCAGACACTGGAAGGAAACTTCTAGAAAGCAGCCTGGAAATAAAGACGAATACCCTTATTATGACCTTTATGTGGTCTCAGCCTTGGAAATCTGTCTTCACAAGAGATGACTAACAAATGCAAAAGAGCTGGGGGCACGACAACACCATGTCACATCCGACTCGTTACATAGGAACAGCTGACCAGATAAGGACACGGCCCGTTTCACTTACAGAAGACCGTGGGGAAAGTCATGAACTCATTACTTTATTCCCCAACTGTCTCCAGAGAGAACTCTGAGCATCAACACGGGAGAAATGACGATGGGATTACGACACTAAGTTAAAAAAAAAGCAAGCAGATCACAGAACTGCACACTGCAATTTTTAGTATTTGGTAAATAATATAGCGAGGTGAGATTCGCATAAAATTAACCACCGTAAAGCAAATACTTGGAGGTATTCACATCCACGACGGTGTGCAACTCCCACTTCTATCTTGTTCCAGAACATTCCATTACCCCAGAGTAAAACGCCTTCCCCATTCAACATGTCTACTATGACTTTAACTCTGGAAAAATGTTGACTGAAAAATGAAAAAGTTATGTGAAGATGTTTTTAGCCATTTTTAAAAGTTGTAAAAGAACAGCCTTTCCAAGACCGCACTCAATGGAGGGATCCACCAGAAAGAAGGCCGCATGGTGCCCAGGGCCCTGTGAGGAACCCGTGAGGGGACCCACAGAGTCACGATCTTAGTCTCCCCAGGAGCAGACCCGCAAGCCCGGGTCCTGCCCAGCCCTGGATCATTCCAGCATCTCCGACCTTGGGGAAGATGCCCAGAGAGGGGGACGCAGGCGCTCCCAGCCCCCCGTGAGGACCCCGGGGGCTCTGAGCACCAGCCCCAGATTCTCACACGCCCCACCTGGGGATGTTTGTGATCCTCATGAGCAGTGGTGGGACTGGTGGGCCCCAAGAGAGCAGCCGCCTGCGCCCTTTGACCTCACAGGTCCTGCTCAAAGCCCAAAGCAGTTTGGGGAACCCTGTGCCGCAGCTGGGGAAGCATCGGGTGTCCACCATGGATCGGATCCCAAGTCCCTGCCCTTGTGATGGGGGTCCCCAGTGAGCCACTCTGGCCACCTGAGTCGTCCCGTCTCTAGGGTCGGGTCAACGCCAACCTACTGGCAAATCCACGGGGAAAGTGGGTTTGTGGTTCTCAGGGGCTGGGGGAGGGGGAGTGACTACTAATGGGGACGGGGTTTCTATTTGGGGTGATGGAATGTTCTGGAACTAGATAGAGGTGATGGTTGCACTATATGTCAAGTGGACTGTAATTTTAAGTTATCAGAATTTAACTTCAATTAAAACCAATAAATCATTCCTCGCTCTCCGGCTCTCCAGGGAGATGGGGACGCTCCCAGGCGGATGGGCCTTCAGTGTGCGTTCAGTGTCCGCGGGGACTCAGTTTTTCCCCCAGGGAAAGGGGGGCAGCTACAGGAAGGGGCTGCATCTCTGCGTGGCAGCCCAGGGATGCTGGGCCTTTGCTTCTGGTGGGGTCGGGGTGCTCCCATGGGGGCACCCGCATGCCCTATGCTCACCAGCGGGGATGGGAACAAAGAAGCCAAACCAACCCTGCGGGCGGATCCCATGTGCCAGGCCTGGAATTGAAGCAACCCACTGCAGACCGATCACCAAGTTGGGTGTCCGAGCCCTGGGGACCCCAGCCCGCAGTGCCTGACCCCCCGGAATCCGCAGTATGCCCCCC